AGCACACTGTATTGCAAGGCGGTTCAAGTGCCAGCATCCAGTCAGACTACGAATTCTATCCCTTGACGTTTGCTCATGAGCTTAACTTCAGAGGCTCCCAATTCCCATGGTTATCAATCAAAGATCAGTTTCCCACAGAAGGAAAAATGGCAACTAGAATTATCACGACCGCTGTGTATGCAGCTAGAAAGTGACATAAACACGTGGTACCACACAGAGCCTAGCCAGCCGCCCAGGAGGTCTCGAGTTCATATCGTCTACCAATACGGACTGGCTGGAGTGAAAACGCTTATACTTAATTTGGCTTCAGCTCTAATAGTAATGGTTCAAATTAGGATGAAGACATTGTGAGTTAAGACCCTTCTTATAACAAAATTCCCACTTGGGAAAGCTTATCGTCCAAGGCCATGATTAAGGGGGAAATTATCCAATGTGTTTTCTCAGAGCTCATGCCATTTCTAAAGGGCAATCAGCCCTCAGCACATTAAGCCAGCCTTGAAAAGACTGATGCTTGCTAAGTATTAAATGCTGCTGTAAACGGATCAAAATGAACTCCAAATAGACTAGGGTTGAAGCTTTCAAAACATTTAAAGAATAAACCCACAAACAACAGTGAAAAATAATATTCACAGATCTTTGGGTTGGAATTTTAAAATCTAAAATATAAATGAGGCTAAGTGTGCTGGTATGTACCTGTGATCCCAGCACTTAGTTGATGGAGGTAGTGGATCATGAGTTCAGTTCCATCCTTGGCTACGTACTGAGTTCAAGGAAAGCCTGGGCTACCTAAGACCCTTCCTCAAAATAAAAACAAACCAAAGTAAAAAGCAAACAAACACAAAAACCAAACCAAAGTAAAAAACAGCCAGCTATGGTGGCCACACCTTTAACCCCAGCACTAGGGAGGCAGAGGCAGGTGAATCTCTGAGTTCAAGGTCAGCCTGGTTTAACAGAAGATCAAGTTTCAGGACAGCCAAGGCTACACAGAGAAACTCTGTCTCAAAAAAAACAAAAACAAAACAAAACAATCCCCCCCAAACAGAGAAAGATAAAAACAAACAAACAAAATCAACAATCCCACAAAACTATACATGCAAGTACAGGATCAAATTATTTGTCAATATAAAGTTATTTTATATTAAGAGATAAAGGTAAATATCAGAAAACTGGAAAAATATTTCAGCGTTTTAAATGAAATATTTAATACCTTCTTAGAGCATTAAAATATCTGAGACCCACTGTAAAAATGAGTAAAGGACAAATTCACAAAAGGAATAGAGAAGAATTAAAAGAGACTTTCCCAGCATTTAATTTTATCAGTCCCCCACATCAATGCAGAATAAAGCAACAATGAAATACCATTTTATAGCTAAATGCTAAAAGTACCATTTACAGCAGCTTTTGATTCGGTATTTCACATGGGGCTGGCCTGGGCATGGTAAAAAGGAAAGGGTTACTACACTACGGTCTATTGTGGAGGCTTTGAGGAAAGCAGGCACTTCCACATACTGTTGGTGGAATAACAAAGTAAAACCATTCCTAAGGAACACAACTGGCAAACCCCACCAAAACTACAGACTCACTCAGTCTCTGGCTCCCCCACCCAACCTCTATCATCTATTTATCCTGTAACTGTATGGCTGTCCCTCTGTGGAATGGCAAGGACACGTGAATATTCACTGCAGTAGTATTGACTGTGAAGAGTGTCCAGTTGATGTGCAACAGGACTGTGTGGAAGCTTGCTGTGCTATGTCCACAACAGAGGCCTCTAGCGGGATATGGGAGCTTTCTACACACCAACATGGAAGGATTCAAGATTATGAATACAAGCAAATCATGCTGACACTATCTTCGGCATAAAAGACAAGAGGCTAATGTATATATACCTCATTACAGTCTTCAAAATTCCTATGATTGAGTTCATTTTATCACACTACCTACAAAGATTCTGCAAATGTGATTTATAACACTAAAAAAATACAAGATTCCTAAGGAAATAATAAAGCAAATTACAGTAATACACGCAATAAACTATTACTTCTGCTGAAGCTCGTTGATAGTGAGTTTGGATTCAGATGCTTTTTGCTTAAGCAAAAATGTGAAATTAAAAATGTATATTATGAATTAAACATGTAATATGGACACTAGAAAAGAAGAGCTAAGGTTGTCTCAGTGATGCTCAGTGCACAGCCCAACACCAGTGGCATTCTAGGTGACAAGGTAGCGTGTAGTTTAGTCAAACACTATCAGCAGTCAAAGTGGTACCACCTGCAGAGAGCTGGAAATGGATACAGAGAGACATTTTGGGGGACCCAAAGGCACTGCTATGTTAAGACAGAAGATAATTTTTTTACAGTCCATTTGAAGAAAATGAGAATCATAAAGATTCTGAGAAGAAATGGAAGGAAGAGAGGCTAACGGGGGAGAAAACCAACAGAATACGCACCAAGTGCTCTCAAAGTCGCCCTCGTGGGTGACGCTTTGCTCTGTCCTCAGTTCATGTGACTACCAGTTCTTCCTTCCTTCTTTATTTATGCATTTAATTTATTTATCTGCTGTTTGGTTTGAGTCAGGCTGTCGCTGTATAGCCTAGGTTGGCTTTGAACCTGTGATCCTCTCGTCCCAGCATCCAGAGAGCTGGAATTACAAGCCTGAGCTACCACACCCAGCTGCCTTTCATATTTTATCAAGTCATATCTGGAGAAATGAAAGCATGGCATAGCCAAGGGTCTATTAACCATGACTCAAATGAGGCGGAGCCCAGGACACCGTGCCAGAAGCACCAGCTCAGTCCTGGCACCCTTTATGTCCTGAGGACTTATGCTTGAAGAAAATGATTTTTTTTAACTCAAAAGCTGTAAAGATTATTATAAACTTACAACTGGTTCACAAGATAAGAATCCAATTCATAAGAAAATATGTAGTTTCTTAGGGGAGGATAAACAAGAAAAAGGAGGGGATATATTCCCTCATGCATAAAGCAATATTAGGACTACATAACAGATAGCATCATGGAATACCAGAAATGTGTCAGAGATAACATGGTAAAATGGGGAAGTCTAACATTGCATATGTGAAGTAAGAACTTTATTCCTGGCATCAGACTACATCTAAGGAGGATGCTGCATAAACCGACTGATACATTGATCCATATGATTGTTATCTGACAGGCTGGCATCAGGAGTAAGATAACAACGTAAATGCTGGGAAAACACAATGGACAAGATCGTTGTGGAAGACAGGAAATATCATACAGCCCTAAGAATGGGTTGTACGGTCTATGAGAGCATCCTCATCAGCTTAACTGTCACTTGGAGTCATATGAGAAGGAACTCATTGAAAGATTTCCAAGATCAGCTTAAAACAAGCAGGTGGGCATGTCTCTGGGAGATTGTCTTGGTTGCTAATGGATACAGGAAGGTCTGGCCCACGATGGACGCACTATTCCCTGGTCAGATGGTCCAGGACTGTAGAAGAAACAGAGCTAAGGATGAGGGCGTGAGCCTTGTAGATACTGAGAGAAGGCACACTGTAGATGGATTGGAGAGACAGTACGAAGACCTCCTTAGAATTGTGCCTGGTAACAGCTAGGAGAGAGACATGGCAGGCGAAGGAGTGAGCAGTATGGGATAAGGTGAGGGGTGTGAAGGGCTAGAAGGCAGACCCGAGGGACATCGTGAGCCACAGCTAACTGCGTGGAGGGCTGGATACCTACTTTTTTATCCCTGATATACAGAAAGACACAATTAGAGGTAAGGGAAGAGAGGCCAGGTACACTAGGCCAGGCAGGGGAGCAAGAAAGGCAGCGTACTCTTGAAGGCGGTGAGAGACTGGAAGAATGACCAGCCATGGGAAAGAACACTTTAAAAGATCAGGTATGTACATTTTACAAAGTGAACAGGTTGTGTGATGCCATCTTTATCCAAGTCAATGTGTATTTAACCACACCCCCCATTTTCCTTTACTCTTTTTCCCTTTTCCCTTCCTCTTTCCAATTATCCCCCCTTTAACTTTTAGCTTTCATAAATAAGAGAATATATACATATATATTTTCTAGGTCTAGCTTATTTTGCTTGAAATAATCATAATTGTATCCAGTTCCCTAAGAATGACAGACGTTTGTTCTTCATGGCAGCCCTGAAGTCCACTGTGCATATGTATATACCTATCATATATTTTTTACCACCCTCTTCCCCTCCCTCACCCTCCCTCTCTCTTTTTAGTCAAAGCTCATATAGCCCCGGCCAGTCTGGTCTCAGGCTCATGAGATGGGATTACAGATGTGAGTCAGGATACCTTGCTTACATGGGACTGAGAACCGAGGCAGGGCTTTCTGCCATGCTCGGCTTGTACCTACCAGCTGAGCTACATTCCCAAGACTACATGTCTTTACATATTCATGGATGTGCTTCTATCTCCCCAGTAACACAGTACTATTTGGACCTGAGGAGATGGCTCAGCAGCTGGGAACACTAGCTGTTCTTCTGAAGGTCCAGGGTTCAATTCCTAGCACCCACATGGCAGCTCACAACTGTAACTCCAGTTCCAGCAGACCTGAGTGCAGGAATGTGGAGCACAGACATACAGGTGGGCAAAAACACCCACAAACATTAACAAAGAAAACAAACGGCGCTAGCACCTGCTCAGAAGCGCTGATTGCGTGCCTCTGGTAGTGACTTCTCATTCAGTAACTTTACTTTGGTTCCGACTATGGTAGAATGCTTACACCATGGAAAGAGGCAAATTTAGTGGTAAGCTGGTTTTGCTGCATGCAAATGATGCTTCCTCACAGAGAGGTAGAGGAGTAGGAGGAGGTCTACCTTGACCCCAAGACATATATTGGGAGAAATAAGAATGAAGACACATGAAAGACACATGAGTCTCTTTTTGCATGAATCAACACGGAAGCTGTAACACTCACTGAGAGGACAAAAAAGGCCTGGGTCTAAAATAAATTCCGCAGGTGGGTTCTTGGGCTGGCTGTGCATGAGAAAATGAGGCAATACTATGCAAATGTGAAGTGAGCTGAGGTCAAATAGGGCAGGAGGACCAAATCTACACTCATCGGTTCCTTGTCTAACGTGCATTTGTTCGGCAGCCTGGGAAAACAGGCTCTCCACACAGAGGATTTCTGAAGGCTTGTATTTGGCCCTTGATGAAAAGGTTCTAAGAAAAACAAGAGAAAGCCACCGTGAGAGACACACTTTGAACCCCGGAGAGAACACTGCAGTGAGCCTACTGCATGCACTCCTGCTGAAGGGAAACAGTAAGCTCTGCTGGGACTGTCTGCAACTTAATCTTACATAATTTGGTTTTCAAAAGGATAACTTTCTGGGTTAAAATCATTTTAGTTACCTCTCTTAGACAAAGTAACTTTCCCAAGTATTTCTGTAGCTTTCCCCAGCAGCACCGGGCCTGGAGGAGCTGCTCTCCAGTGTCCCCCTCTTGGCTGAGCAGGAGCTGGCTAGCTACAGGCACTTTCTTCTTCCCCTCAGCTGAGTGGGACCTGACAATTCTGCAGTTTGGGAGCCAAACTGGAATTCCTTCCATCTGTATCCAGACATTTAAGAATTTGGCTGGACTCCACAGGAAGGCTTTGCAGAGCACTTAATCAAGTGCTCCAGAGGTTAAATTTCAGGAAAGCCCTCTTGGATCCAAGATAAAGGCGGGGTGTAAAAAGCGAAAACAAGAGTCCTGTGAGTCAGAGGTCCTTCGCTCTCCTCGCTCAAGACTGCCGTCTCCCAGCTCAAACAGGTTGGTTCCTTCTTTCTTTTTCTCCTTTTGACCTAAATATGCATCTTTAAAAAAATTTTTAAGCCCAAAGATTTTGCATTTTTATTTTAGTGAGGGATGGGGGGTTTGGTGCATGAGAGTTTAAACATTTACATGGACCAAAAAGCTATTTAAGAACTTATAGATAAGTATTATATATACTTATTATATATAAGTATATTATTGTTATATATAAGAATCTATAAAATGTAGAGATCTACACTTTAACCTTGAAATGAAAATATGACTATGTCAAGAAGAATATATTATTTTCAATACCATTGCTGGTTTGTCAGGGAGCTAATAGAGTTTACCAGATCATTTCTTTCTGCTCTTTATAATAAATATTTTTTGTCTTGAAAATAATTTTTAAAAAAACAGTTGAGGGGGGAGTGGGAGGGTGTTGGGAGGGGGGGCGGAAATGGAAACTTTAATAAAAAAAAACAGTTGAAAGTCTTCCTATGTATCTGAAGAAGGGTAATTTTTACAAATAATCTCTATTCCTATTCTGATATTATTATACTGTTGGAAAGTCATACTTTCAAATAGTCGCCCTTATATTTTATTTGGTTCTGTTGCTCTTTATCATTAAGTTCAAGATTTCTGTGATAACAGAGAGGAAAGAACCAAGTCATATTGTGTTAATAATTAATGCAGAAACCAGGAGGCTACAGGAGGCTGCCAGTGCAGCTTCTGAGACACCTTTAATAACAAAGTAGCCACTGTAGACTCTTGCTGCTTGCTTTCTGCATAATAAGGAAAACCCCTCAGCAGTACTGGCCTCAGGGAGCACCTTCCCTAAATGGCACCTTTACATTATTCACCCAAAGAAGAGTTAGCAAGTTAAAGACCTCTCTAAAAACTTTATGTTCTTTCCTGTATTGTTTTGAAAATGCTGTTTTCATGAGTGATTCTGTAAGACCGGGGATTTTCTGAAGGACAAAAATGGCCAATCAAGAGAGAGAAGCTAAGAAAGAAAAGGCAATAAAATAATGAAAGTCACTGTAATATTCATAGTAATATTTGTGAATTCAGTGCAAGCTTTTCTTGATGCATTGCAGTGATATTAGCCAGCGCGTGATTCCCAAGTTTGAGACAGGAGACCCCAACACATCCGACATCCATTCCGCAGTAACAGCGTCTATGTTATGTTATGTTGTGCTGTGTTGTGCTGTGTTATGATGAGCAGCTAGAGTGTGCCTGGTATGTAGTAAACGCTTCAGACACAACCAGAAATCAAACTGCTCAGACTACAGAGAACTTAGAGCTGGGAAATACACTTTCTCCACAGGATGGAGTCATATCCTTGATCGAGGGTCAATCTTCTGGGGAGGAAAACCCAAACTAATTTACTCATAAAGGGAGGGCAGAAAATAGTGCTGGGCAAGGGCAGGCGGGAACGATGGTGATGCACGCCAGAACACCGTGTGTCTGCCAACAGTCGGCAACGCGGCACACTCCTGCCTACTATGTGGGGACAGGGGTGGGGGGTGGAGGGAGCCTTGGAGTCCACTCTGTGGACCATGTGTTGTTGTCTCTTTCTCAGCAAGGGACGTGCTTCCGGGTGCAGAGTTAGATGAGAGAGCGTTAGACCGGCAAGTCAGAGGCACAATATCGACAGCAGTAAGAATGATTTTCACAGGAAAGTGCGTGAGAAGGATGAAGAACAATCAGATTCCAGCTAGGAAGACAGTGCAGTGTGTGTGTGTGTGTGTGTGTGTGTGTGTGTGTGTGTGTGTGTATGCATGTGTGTGCGTGCGTGTGCACAATCAGAAGGGACACAGTGGGCATATGGCACAAGTCTAAAGACTGTAAGCACATGGGCTGGAGAGATGGCTAGTGGTTAAGAGCATTGCCTGCTCTTAAGTCCTGAGTTCAATTCCCGGCAACCACATGGTGGCTCACAACCATCTGTAATGAGGTCTGGTGCCCTCTTCTGGCCTGCAGACATACACAGACAGAATATTGTATACATAATAAATAAATAAATAAATAAATAAATAAATAAAAAAAGACTGCAAGCACAGGAAGATCTGAGACCCATTTGCAAGGTAAAATCTGAACATGCAAACTTGGTGTGGTGGTTCACACCTATAATCCCAGTACTGGGGAGACTGAGGCAGGAGGATTGCTAACTTGGGCTACAGAGTGAGATTCTGTCTCAGGAAAAAAAAAAACCAAAATAAAGCAAGCAAGCAAGCAAGAATGAACAAACTTACAGACCAACTGGAAACAAGGGGATCTAGGTAAGTGAGAAGTCCAGGACAGTGCCAATTTTCAGCTTCGAAGGACCGGGGACACAAGAGAGACCAGGGGACATGAGAGGGATGAGGGGACACAAGTAGTTACAGGCAAGCTTGTGAGGCAAGCTGACTAAATGAGGTTTTCCTGTAGAAAAGTCAACATTAATGCTCTATACAAATGCCAAGTTAATTTATTTAAATTTAAATTATAGTAACACTCGAATAAAAAATTAAAACATTCCTTTTTTCAAGCAAGACAACTGATTTTAATTTATTATAGCTAACTCCTCAAGACAAGTTACTTGTAAAAATTACAACATTTCTTTTGTTCTTTGATGAAATCTTTTATTATAAAAACCAGATTGAGTCTGGTCTATAAGAACTAGTTCTAGGACAGCTAGGACTTTAATGCAGAGAAACCCTAACTCGAAAAACAAAAAACAAAGAAAAACCAGACTAGGTAGATGGCCCTGTGGTTAAAATGCTTGCTGTCCAAGCATGCGGACTCGAGTCTGGGTCCCTAGCATGTATGAAAGTGAGGAGTGGGGTTGCAGCTCGCCTACAGTTCTAGTGCTCAGAAGATAGCGGAAGGATGTGTGGACCAAGCTGGCTATCAGAACAGCTCTGCTGGTCAGCTCTGGGTCTAACCTCTGCCTCAAGAAGTAAGAAGAGAGTAATCTAATGACTTCTAATGCCAACTCCAACCTGTAGATACATGCATATACATGTGCCATCTCACCCACCCACATGCATGCAGGCCACACATACAAACACACACACACACACACAAAAACCCCACAAAACTAAACAACTTATATTTACTTAAAAGTCTTCAACTTTATCTAGGATTTAGTAATAACTAAGGGAATCCCTTAGGATATTGTCTGTTGGCCATGGACAAATGCCAGTTCCTGCACACAGACATGTAAAAACAAACGATGGGGGAACTGGCTCAATGTGGCTCCCATTAAAGTTTTCAGAGTGAGATCCAGGTTCACACATGTGATAGCCCACAAGCTATTCTCTAGAGAAAACACAAACCGTATGTTGGGTAAAGCTGCTTCCTTTTAAGCAATGCTGAAGTGAGTGTCTTGTGTTCTTCCTGCCATCCAGCTCGGTGCCATGGCGCTAGAGCAGAGCCAGCCAACAGAATACTACTATGAGGGACACGAAATGAATGACACGTACGACTACAGCCAGTATGAAACGATCTGCATAAAAGAAGAAGTCAGGCAGTTTGCCAAAGTCTTCCTCCCTGCCTTCTTTGCAATAGCCTTTGTCATTGGACTGGCAGGCAATTCCACAGTTGTGGCAATTTACGCCTATTACAAGAAACAGAGGACCAAGACAGATGTGTACATCCTGAATCTGGCTGTGGCAGACTTGCTGCTTCTGGTCACATTGCCCTTCTGGGCAGTTAATGCAGTCCATGGGTGGATTCTAGGGAAAATGATGTGCAAAGTAACTTCGGCTCTGTACACGGTAAACTTCGTCTCTGGGATGCAGTTCCTGGCTTGTATCAGCATTGACAGATACTGGGCAATCACTAAGGCCCCCAGCCAATCAGGAGCGGGGAGACCCTGCTGGATCATATGTGGCTGTGTGTGGGTGGCTGCTACCTTACTGAGTATACCCCAGCTGTTTTTTTACACCGTGAATCACAATGCCAGGTGCACTCCCATCTTTCCCCACCACCTGGGAACATCCCTGAAGGCATCCATTCAGATGCTGGAAATCTGCATCGGCTTTGTGGTTCCCTTTCTTATCATGGGGGTGTGCTATGCCATCACTGCAAGGACCCTTGTCAAGATGCCGAATATTAAAAAGTCTCGCCCCCTCAAGGTTCTGCTCACGGTGGTTGTAGTTTTCATTGTCACGCAGCTGCCTTACAACATTGTCAAGTTCTGCCAAGCCATAGATGCCATCTACTTGCTGATCACCAACTGTGACATGAGCAAGCGCATGGATGTCGCCATCCAAGTCACAGAGAGCATCGCACTCTTCCACAGCTGCCTCAACCCTGTCCTATACGTCTTCATGGGGGCCTCCTTCAAAAACTATATCATGAAGGTGGCCAAGAAATATGGATCCTGGAGAAGACAGAGACAGAACGCAGAGGAAATTCCTTTTGATTCTGAGGCTCCTACAGACCCAACCAGTTCTTTTACCATTTAAATATAAAACGCTCTCTGCTTTTTGCTTGCACACACACACACACACACACACACACACACACACACACACACACGAGTGAGGTTTCTTACTCAAAGTATTTGTGTTACACTGAGACTCAAATGTCAAACACTAGACTGTTGTTGCAATGTACACCAAAGAAGGAGCAAAGGGTGGGGGTGTGACAAAGACAGACAGAAGAAAGTAAACAACAAACGGGCAGAATCTGGAAATTAAAGTTACTACAGGAAAACAGAATGGCAGGAGGGAGAAAAATACTGTACTCTAAAGAGGAAGCTTAGTGGCGAAGGGATGTTTTCATCTTGACTACAGTGGTGGCTACTCAAATCTTTATGTGCCATATAGGAATTTCAACTGCCTACTTTTGATAGCAACTGTAATTATGAAATATAAAACATTGACTAATGAGCACCCTAGACCATCTCATGTGATAAGTCATGGGTAAGGGTTATCCGGGACCATCCTGTGTGATAAATCACTGTGTAAGGGTTATCCGGGACCATCCTGTGTGATAAGTCATGG